GCCGCTCCGGCAGTCCAGGAGCCTGCACTAATGGCAGCGGCAGCAAGCCCCGCCCCTAGCCCACCACATTTCAGCTTGGTGGAGGCCGGAGAGCCCCATCACCATGTCACTTGGGCCCGCGCAGGAGCACTGCGGCTTGGGGACGGCCAGAGAGCCCTGTTGCCGTATACTCTGGGCCAGCGCAGGAGCGCTGCACCTTGGGGGACAGCAGGAGAGCCCCGCCTCCACATCTCCCAGGCCGCGCAGGAGCACTGCGGCTCAGAGACACAAGGAGAGCCCCACCTCTGTGTCCCCCGGGCCCACGCAGGAGCGCTGTGGCTCGGGGGAGGGCAGGAGAACCCCATTGCCTCATTCCCCGGGCCACGCAGGAGCACTGCGGCTCGGGGGAGGGCAGGAGAACCCCATTGCCTCATTCCCCGGGCCGCACAGGAGCACTGCGGCTTGGGGGAGGGCAGGAGAACCCCATTGCCTCATTCCCCGGGCCGCGCAGGAGCACTGCGGCTCAGGGGACAGCAGGAGAGCCCCATCACCACATCCCCCGGGTCATGCAGGAGCGCTGGGGCTCAGGGAACAGCAGGAGAGCCCCGTTGCCACGTCCCCCGGGTCACGCAGGAGCACTGCAGCTCAGGGGATGGCAGGAGAGCCCCGTTGCCACGTCTCCCAGGCTGCACAGGAGCGCTGCGGCTCAGGGGATGGCAGGAGAGCACCGCCTCCACGTCTCCCAGGCCACACAGGAGTGCTGTAGCTTGGGGACGACAGGAGAGCCCCGCCTCCGTGTCCCCCGGGCCTGCGCAGGATTGCTGCGGCTTGAGGAACGGCAGGAGAGCCCCGTCGCTGTGTCCTCCAGGCCGCGCAGGAGCACTGCGGCTCAGGGGATGGCAGGAGAGCCCTGCCTTCGCGTCTCCTGGGCCGTGCAGGAGCGTTGTGGCTCGGGGACGCCAGGAGAGTCCAGCCTTTGCATCCCCCGGGCCCGTGAAGGAGCGCTGCGGCTTGGGGGAGGGCAAGAGAGCCCCATTGCCACATCCCTGGGCCGCGCAGGAGCGCTGCGGCTCAGGGATGCCAGGAGAGCCCTGCCTCCATGTGTCTCGGGCTCGCGCAGGAGCTCTGCGGCTCGGGGAATGGCAGTAGAGCCCCATCGCCATGTCCCCTGGGCCGTGCAGGAGCGCTGCGGCTCGGGGGACGGCAGGAGAGCCCCATCGCCGCGTCCCCCGGGCCTGTGCAGTAGTGCTGCGGCTTGGGGGGTGGCAGGAGAGCCCCGCCGCTGGCTTCCCCGGCCCCCGTCAAAGCAGTAAGTAAGGGATCTGTGGGAGTGGGGGTGGCGGGGGCCTGAGGGGG